TAATTACTATTAGTATTAAGAAAACGAATGTCTTGGCACATAATACTAATTCTATTTTAATCAAAATAATATTTCCCTCTTCAAGGAACAAACAATATGTGGGGTAAGCAGATCCTCTGGTCCCAAAGAAACAAGAGAAACAATGGCAAAGACATGACATGTACCTCATAACCCCTTCATCACACGTGTTGCAAAGCGCCCAGCGTCTACTCACCAGGTTTCCTCCGACTATCAACGGAATATGACGGCTTCGAATAAAGTGTTTGATCGAATGAGGTCTGCAGCCAAAACTTGTAAACAAATGGGAATGAAACAAGTGGAATAAGCCCTCCGGCCCTGGTACTTGCTGCCGGACACAGCTGGGAGGGTGAAACGTGGAGTGCGGGGCTGGAGGGGGCGGGCGGGCTGCTGCTGGGGCTGCTGCTGGGGCTGCTGCCTGCTGCCTGTCCCCCCCACCCCACCCAGCGCGTAGGCAACCCAACGTCCGCGTGCTGCGCGGGACTGTCGATCTACCAGGGGATCCCAACCGCATTGGTGGAAATACAGGCTAAATTTTGCGCGTGCAAACGGACTTTTTAGCAGATGATACGTAGTAATCAGCAGCTTGTACTCAAGTAAAGTGCAAAAGTCCGTTTGTTAGTTTAGCAGATGATACGTAGTAATCAGCAGCTTGTACTCAAGTAAAGTGCAAAAGTCCGTTTGTTAGTTAAAGCGTGAAGTTGTCAGTTGTCAGCGTCAAAAGCAGAAACGCAGTAGCGCTGCCAGCCGGACGCCGTAGCGCTGGCAGCCGAACGTGGAGCGGTCCAGCCAGCAGCCAGCCTAAAGTTTTGGGGGAGTGCGGGAAAAGCCGTGCTCGCTCGCGTGCTCCGTCGGTCGCTGCTGTACTGCACCGCGTCCCGAGGCGACGGCTCGACGACTCATTTACGACCTCGTAAAAACATAGACCGGCGTAGGGCACGCAGCACACAGCCGCGCTCGCCGCGCCGGTCGCGCCCGCCGCGCCCGCGCCCCGCCGCAGCGCGCTGCACCGCACTGTGCCGCGCCGCGCCCCGCCCGCCCCGCCCGCCACTATTGCCACGCCACGCTCGTCGCTCAATTCCGCGCTCAACTCCGCGTTCAAAGCCGCGTTCAATACCACGTCAAGCCGTTAAACGCCGATGCGTTAAACGCCGATGCGTTAAATTCACGTTAGGGTTAAGCGCGCCCCGCCGCGCCCCGTCGCGCCCCGCTGCGCTCGCCGCGCTTGCCGCGATGCGCCACGCTCACCGCGTCCAGCCACGCTCGAGGTTTAGTGGTTGGTTCAGAGTCTTACACGAGAGTTATTTGGAGTAAACGCTGAACGCTGCGCGCGGTGCCCGCACTCACGTTCAATGCTTGCTCGCGTTCACGTTCAACGCAGCTGGCCGCTGGCCCGCGATCGCGTTAAACGCTGGTTCGCGATCATAACGCTGCCCTGTGTTCGCCACTAACGTTCAACGCTGCCCTGCGTCCAGCGCCGTGCACATTGCTGCACTATAACACGTTCTTAGTTGTTGGTTTCGAGTCGTGTGAGTTTGGAGTAAAGGCTCAACGCTAGACGTGTAAGTCATCTGCTTTCACGTTAGCGTTAGCGTTAACGTTTTTTGGGACGTGAGACAGTCAAAAGTATCCTAGGAGCCAGGAGTATGTTGTGAGTTCCTACACCATCCCTCATCGCAGGGTTTAAGTTCGAATAAAGTGGCATCCCGCCGCAAAATACACCTTTTTTCCAGTCGAGTGAAGATGGACCGCGGAAGGTAGGGGGTGCGGAAAGGACAGAACGACGTCCAGACGATGCCGCCGCGCCACGCCTCCGTCCCACGCACAAAGCTGGCCGGCCTGCCTGAGTCACCTCAGCCGACTGATCGCTGATCCGGCGCTGACCTCGGCGAGCGTCTGACGGGGCGGGCGGGGCGGAAGGCTTCCGGATTTGGTCGGGAGTGCAGCGAGCGGCAGACCAACGACCAACAACAACCCCGTCGCGTCGAGTCTCGACGTGGTTTATTTCTATTTTACAGCGACACCGTACGTTGCAACCGGCTGGGATGGGGTTCAAGGGGGCTGTCGGGCTGTCTGCAGCAGAGGTGTTTGCTGGCCGCACCCACGACCGCCTCCACTCTCTTCCCACAAAGCGTCGATAAAAACTCACAATCGGAATCCTCTGCGTAGAGGTAGAGAGTAATGTATGAGAAAGAGAGGAGAAATAACGGAAGGGTGGGCGTGGGAGGGACAACCCCTCCAAATTCTCCCAATGCGTGCATGCACCCACGCGCCGCCACGCCCTCCCCCCTACTCGAGTAGGGGCTCCCTCCTGCTAGCCTCAGCGACGGCCTTTGCTGAACACCGTGTCCGCCGTGGACCCGAGCCAGTGAGGCCCGCCAATGCCGGCCAATGCCCTCCCTTTCCTGCCAAACGTCGTCTTCCTGCAGTATCAGTATCAGGGGCGGACCCGCGGCGGCCCACCCGGGCGGCACGGGGCTTGTTTCCATTTCCGCGACCTCCTACTCGGCGACCTCTCCGCCAGTCCGTCGATCAGCCGTTCTTGGCAGCCCCTTTGCGCCCCATAACATGCGGCAGCGTCGGCCGGCAGCGGCAGCCCCAGCGACTCCTGACCCCCTTATCGCAGAGGGCCGGGGCGGGCCCGCTCGGCGCTCGGCGCACCCTCCTGCGTCACCTTGACCCACAGCTCCGCCCCCCCCCACTCCCCCTCGGAAAGGGTTATGACTCGGACCCGCACGGTTCAGTCCAAACACGCGTGACCAACACTGTCTGCTGGGGCGCGGAACAACACGCGCCGCCCCTCGGCACGACCCAGTGAAGCGCGCTCCCTTCTCCGCCGCTTTCTTTGCGTGATTGAAATCGGCGGTGATCGCGCCGAGTGTCCAGGCCAGGACGTGTCCAGGACGTGTCCAGGCCAGCCCAGGCCGGGGCGTCGCCCAGTGCGGGCTCCGGACCAACTCGCATCGCAAACTGCGTGGTCGGGCTGGCACCGCCATACATGGCATGCAACACAGGTAACCGGGACAGGGAGGGGAACGGCGCGGGGCCGGGCGCGGAGGGGGGGCTGGAGTGGGAGACGCCCACCTACCTACCGCCCCGCAACCCGTGCCCACCGCCGCGCCGCCCCGCCGTGTAGCCCCACGCCCGCACCACACCGCCGGCCCCGCCCCGCCCCGCCCCTGGCCGCGCCGCAAGCCGGGCGGGCCTCCGCGCCGCGGCAGGCTGGCAGCCGGTCATTCCAAAGCAAGATGTTGTAGCGAACCGACCGGCACACAGCTACTCTAGGCGACAAGGCGCCGTGCCGAACTGCCAACGCGAACGAACGAAACCCGCGAGTAGTGACACCCGCGACCCAGCCCGACTCGCGACCTCGGGCCCGCGAAACCTTTGGCGCCGAGCCCCGCGAACCCCGCCGCGGCCATGACTGTGGGGAAGAAAGTGGAGTCGACGTCGACGGCGGCGTCGGCCGCTAAGACAGTGACGTCGTCCTCGACGTCGTCGTCATCCACCAGCAAGACAGCAAAGACAGCGTCGTCGTCCAAGGCCTCCACGTCTGTGGAACGCCTGTCCTCGCCACAGCTGGGCGGCAGGAAGGTGACGACCACCACCACCACGGAGGTGACGAGCATCAACGGCAAGCCCTCGGGCAGCACCACGACCGTCAGCAATGGCGCCGCGAGTGACGGCGGCACACACGGCGGCGTCGTCACCCGGACTACCCGACGAGTGACGGGCGGCAGCAGCGTGACCACCAGCTCCAAGGTGATCGAGACCGTGTCGCAGACCGTGCTGCGCTCGTCGAGCAGCAGCCAGGTGGTGAGCCAGTCTTCCAGCCAGCAGGCCGTACAAGGCAGCGTGTCCTCCAGCGCGAGGCACGGACAGCTCCTGGCGGAGGGCAAGGGGGGCACCACCTCCTACACGGCCGTCACCACGACGACGGGCAAGCAGGAGTCCCGCGTGGACCCCGGCTCCAAGGGGATGCCGGCCGCCGGGAAGCCCTCGGTGGCCCCCAAGGCTTCCACCACCACTTACCACATGCTGGATGACGCCGGTGGCTCCGTCACCATCACCGACATCACAGACGCGTCCCTGCCCCACCACGGCGGGCGCCAGGGTGCGGCGGGCACGTCGTCCTCCACCTTGGTGCAGACCGGGGGCGGGACGTCGTCCTCGTTCCTCGACAAGAAGACGTCAGTGACCAAGTCGTCGAGCAGCAGCAGCAAAATGGAGGCGTCGTCCTCGTCAATGTCGACGTCGTCGTCCAGCCAGCGCGTAGTACAGTCCGGCGAAGCGCTGTCTTCCTTCCTGGAGCAGGAGAAGAGGTCGTCGCTCGACAAGTCGTCGAGCAACACCAAGGGAGACACCTCTTCGTCGTCGATGAAAGCGGCGACGTCAGGTCATGTGTCGTCATCCAGTCAGCATGTCGTCGAGTCGGGGTCGATCGGCGACGCCTCCACCTCGCTCATCCAGATGGAGAAGTCGTCGAGCCAGCAGGGCTCCAAACTATCGGGGGCCCAGGGCAGCACCATTGTCGACTCGACATCCACATCCACCAAGGCCTCGTCACTAACCCCACTTCACCCAATCGCCGGAGATTCATCCACATCGCTAATACAAACCGACAGTAAGCAATCTGGATTGAGTGGGCTGTCAACATCTACTTCCAAGATAGAAACATCGTCATCATCATCAAGCAAGCAAATGTCATCATCGACGATGAAAATGTCGTCGTCATCTTCATCCAGTCATCAAATTATTCAATCGGGCTCAATAGTCGATAGCTCATCTACCTCGCTCGCCCAGGTCGGCGATAGCAAGTCCTCCACTACGGGGATAAGCAAGACGGCCACGTCGGGAGTCATCAAGTCCACGGGGGTGGTCCAATCCTCCAGCAGCACGGATATGGCGTCCAAGTCATCGATAAGCCAGTCATCGACAAGTCAGTCATCAACGACCACTATCGTGGGTGGATCTACCGAACAGTCTTCCAGTGTGTCCAAGAGCAAGCAGTCTTCCAGCCAGCAACAGGTGCTGATGAGCAGTGATAGGTCGACCACGCCCACGCCCGCCGCCGGCAAGCCCACCTTCCCGGTGTCAACCGACTCGCAGCGGCAGCATGTGCAGCAGGAGCAGAAGACGTCTGTCGTGAGCAGCAGCAGCAGCAGTGACAGCAAGGCTGCAGCGTCCAGTGTGCGGGAGCAGACCACCGTCAAGACCAGCAGCAAGACTTCCGCCAAGAAGCAGCATGAGAACAAGGAGCAGTGCATCTGCGAAATCTGCACATGCGGGTGAGTAGTGCACGCATCCACACCGTTTACCTATTCACACAATCGCGGGTTTAGTCGTGTAGAAGTACAGTAGGGAAGCATGGTTTTGAGTAACTGAAAAATAATTCAAAGGTCCGTCACCGCGCCCCTCGAATTTGGCACGGGTTGCCAAACAGTATTCGCACGTGACTTCGCACCGTCACTTACGCCCGCTCCCTCCCCCGCCTCCTGTCGGCCCCCTTGCGCTCCGTAACAATGGGAGCTGCGGGGGGCAAGGGGGGCCTGGGGGGGCCCCCGGGGTCCGCCGGGGCCCTGCTGGCCGGGGCTCTGGGGCCGCACCAAAGCCCCGGCCAGGGCCCCGGCGGACCGCACCTATCCACCTGGGCTGCGACTGACAGGGCGCGGCGAGGCGCGGCGCGCGGGGGCCTAGCGTAGCACGACCCTGACGGCGGCCCTCGACACTGGCGCGCTGGTGGGAGGATAGGGAAGACCGCCGCCGCCGCCGTCGCCGCGTCGCCTGCCTCGTCGCGCTCCAGGTAGACGTCGACGACGACAGGCGCCTCTCAAAAATGTGCCGTGTGTGTGGCGTGTGACCTTATCGTCTCGTGTCGTCCGGGCGAGCAGGCCGTTGACGTTCGGACACGACCCGCGGCGCGCCAACAACGATGCGCCAGCTGTCAATCACGCGTGTCCGCACCATATAGCGAAGGGTCGGGCGACACAGCCGTGACGTGACGTGACGTGACGCGTCGCCCGTCGGGTCGATGGCTGTGTGTGGGGTTAACGTGTTATCGTGTGGTGTCTCCGGAGGACCGCGGGCCACACCCGTGGGGGCGGCGGTCGCCGTCGAACGAGGAGCTGGCTAGCGGTGGCCGGTAGCTAGCGCATTGAGCCGCGGTGGCGGCGGTGGTGGCGGTGGCGTGGAAGCCACCGCGTGGATTGCAGCCATTGCAGCCCGCGCATTGCAGTCATTATGTGGTCGTGTGCGACGCCTGCGCCTCTGGCCGCTCGAAGCGTCGCCACGCCGCCCCGTTTACTACACTGCTGCAAAAGTCCGCGCCGGGCCAAGAGGGCTCTGCTTTTGCCGCGCCGTATGGTGGAACAACAGAACAGACGCTCCTCGCGCTGCTCGCTCGTTGGGCCGCCTTTGGCTGATCACGCCAGTCATCCATCAACGCCCGCGATGTCGAGGTGGACGGGGAGGAAAAGGAGGGGGGGGGGCGTACGAACCGCCATGTCGGACCGGTAGGGGATCCTCCGCGCGCGTGTGAGGACGCCGACAGCGCGGCGCTATGGGATGGGCCCCGGCGCGGCGCCGTGTGTGCTGTTCGGAGGCAGACCTCCGGCCGGCGAATCTCTGGCGCGCGCTCGACGCGCTGCTCGCTGCGGAAATGATACGTTTTTAAGGCGTCCCGTCTCGCGGCGGACTCGACGCGTGGGCCGCGCGGGAGGGCAGGGCCGCCGCCGCTGATGAGCGTGTGACGGCGGCGGTGACGGCCCGTCACCCGCAGCCGCCCGAGATGATGATTGCTTTTGACGCAAAAAGGGAAGCAAGGTGATGGGAAAAGACTCTTTATTGTCCGCACACGGGTGTGTTTGACTACTTTACCCGACACGGGCATGATGAGCAGTGCGCGAGACCGTCGTCGCCGTGGGCGTTCGCGAAAATTAAAACACCTGCAGCGTGTTTACCTTTCTGCTCGTTGTAGAGCCGCTACTGCGGCAAAAACTGCCGGCAAATTAGTTTTAGTCGGAACAGCTGGCGGCGGCGGGGGAGGCGGTAACGGGCAGCACGGCGCCGCGGCGCTTTGCCTCGAGCTTCGCGGTTTCCGCGGGACCGGTGACACTTCGTGACGCCGGCCAGGCAGGCAGGCGCCGCCAGTGCCTCGCCTCGCCACGCCTTCCCCGCATCGCCTCGCTCCGCCCCGCCCTCCTCGCCGCCCCGGCCCGCGGCGACGGACTCCCTGTAAAGCACAAAGTGGCGGTCAGGGTCACCGCAGGCTGACAGTTCCTCGTGTGTGCCCCTCCCCACCCCCACCCCGCACGCCTTGGAAGACGAACCACTTTGGTGCAGTGGGAAGTCGTCATCCCTAGCCTGTACCATCGGCACGAGGCCCGGCTAGAGCAGCTGAGCTCTACTAGACCAGAAAGGGCTTGTGACCCATCCGCAAAATTTTGAAATTTGCAAGTTTGTTATATACCACTAAAACGTACAACTTTGTCCCTGGCGTACGCCGAGCTAATGGCCCCGAAATCTACATGTGTTTGCTTTGCTAAGTGGCCGGGCTCCAGCTCGCCCCGCGCCACGCCCCGCCCTGCGTCGCTTGTTGTTGACGGACTGTTCCGTGGACTCAGATGGTATCACGAATCACCCGCCTGCATTCACGCGGGAGGTTGGTTCGCCAGCAGGGCGCGGTGGGCTGCAGGCGACTGCACTGGTCGTGCTGCACTCGGCGGGTCAAGGCCCATAGCTCGCGGAGGGTGGCGGCGGGGCTGGCGCCGCGCCCCCGCGCCGTCAAGGACGCCGGCACCGCCGCCGCCGATTATTTGGGCGCCAACAAACTGCTCGGCGCGGCCGGGGGAGGGCCGGCGGCGCTGCCCATCACGCGAGGGCTGTTGATGTTGATCGCGAGGCCGGACTGGGGAATAGGGCGCGCCAGGTCTCTGCCGGCCTCATCCACTTCCACTTCCGTGGAGCAGCGGCGGCAGCGGCGGCGGCGAGGTGGCTGACGGGGAGATGCAAACACCGAACGCACTTCGCGTTTAGTACCTGGTGGAGACCGTCGTCGCGATGGTAGGGGGAGTCACTGCCTCCTGGTGTCCGCGACCTCGAGCTCCCCGTCGACACCGCTGGCTCGTCCTATGACACCGCCGGCCATGCCATGAGGGCAGGGCGGCGGGCTGCCCAAGGGGCGCGCGGCACCGTGATTCGCGAGTATGGGCATAAAGCTACTCGGCCGTGCCACGCCATCGACCTCGTTCCATCGCGTCCGAGGCCGTGTCCGAGGCCGCGTCCCCGCCCCGTTGTGCTACGGGGAGAGGTACGGCTGAAGGGCAAGCGGTCAATCACGTGGGCAAGTCGCATTACCGGCCGAGCATAGTCGATTCGCTCGGTGCGTCAGGCTCCGGCTAGGGGCAGGAGAGGGGGTGGTGGGGTGAGGAGGGAGGGGGAGAGCGGAGGAGGGGAGAGGAGGCGAGGAGGGGGCAGAGAATGGAGCGCATCCTACGCCCATCACAAGTCCTGTACACCTCGCGGTGCCTCGCGGGACTGACGCGGCGCGGCCCGCTGATGCCCTAATGCCCATCGTTTGTCCTAGCGACAAGGACGCCTGCCGCGCGTGGTGTGCGGGGGCGATTCGACCCGGACAAAGTGACTCCGAGATAGAGAGGAGGAGGGGTGAGGGGAGAGAGTGCGAGAGAGGAGAGCGTGTGGCGGGCGGAGCAGGGGAGGGCCGCGGAGCACCCAGGAGGAGGTGCCCGATAAGGAGTTGGGCGCGTCCAGTGCATTTAGGTTACCCCCCCGGGACCCGGCCTGCCTGACCGAGCCCCGGTCTGCTCCGCCCTGCCGGACAGCCGGACCCAGCCGCGCGACGCACACGGCTGTTGCCAGCGCGCCGTTGTTGTGCCTACATCAGCACTGGGCAGCAGCGCCGAGCAGCGCCGCTGCTTGTCATCAAGAAACACTTAATTGCCGAGTAGGTTGCCGGCAGCGTGTGTGTGTGTGCCTTTGAGACGCGGGGTCTATATAATCACTGAGGAGCTCAGCGAATAATAGTCGCGTCTTTCATTTCACAACGCATAGCCGGATCGCCTATACTCCGCTAAAAATCGGGTAAAAACGCTGCCTCTTATAAAACAAACGAGAGTTGGTAAAAATAACAATGTCAAGGGAAGCTCGTTGCATGGCGCATCAGCTTTCGACAATAAAAATGAAAACAGCTGACTGACGAGATTGCTCATTTTCGATTGCCAGTCACCTGTTTTGCCCAACAGCCTGCTCTCTCTGTCCGTTCTCCCACACTCCATCCCTAGCGGCCACACAACACAACTGTTGCGGGCATGGGCGATGGAACCAGTTTGCGAACGGTTGAGCTAGGTTGGAGGGACATAAAGCCTGATGGTAATGTCCGATAGAAACCGATACTAGTTCCACGGCAGCGTAAAAACACTAAGGCGGGATCCATTTTATTGACAGTTTGGGATGGGCGGGGAGGAAACGTCCTGAATTTAGGGCCTGCGAAGGTATCAGAAGTTTAGGAAAACATAGAGGAAACTGCGAACCGCAGAAGATTTTTCAGCTTTCCTTATCGATATTGTATATGTTTTAGTGGGAGAGAGGGGCGATAGCTAATGGCCATTAGTAAGTGTGCACGGGTTTGCAGGCCCATTTTATACGCCAAACTATCCGGCATGTATAGACCGCTGAATAAGGTGCAATATAAACTGGAGAATGGCCTGTGGACAGAACAGCCGGCGAAGCCTGACCTTCGCCACGGAATGAGAGCGGAGCGCTTGACAATAAAGGCGCCTGTGGGTAGGCACGCCCGGCGTGCACCAGTGACCAGCTGGGTGGCCTACCCCGTACTCTGCAGGCGCGCTACTGGAAGCTGGCGGAAGGTGCGGGTGGAGCCCCTGTGGATAGGCAGGCCCGGCGTGCACCAG